ATTGCCGATGCCTGCTGCTGATGGGCTTGTCGCTTTGGAAAGCTTATTAAATAGTAAAGGGTCTCAGGGAGTGGTTTTATATGGTAATCCGGATAAATTAAACGCGCTTTTAACCACACCATCACCTCTGCAAAGAACAAAGGTTGCGGTGGGAAAAACAGCCTCAGTAAATAATGAAGTACTTTATGCCGCTTCATTGACTTATCTGCGCGGACTGTTGACTAAAGAGCTCAGAATGAAAGAAGAAAAGCTGGATGCAGAAACTCCTTTTGAGCAGTATGGAATTGATTCCATTATGATCACCAAATTAACTAATTGTCTGGAGGCTGTTTTCGAAAGAATACCCAGAACTTTGTTTTTTGAGTGTCAGACCTTAGCAGAATTAACTGAATACTTTGTGGAAGTTTATGCTGAAAAGTTAATACAGATTACGGGTTTAAAGGTTTCATATTCTGATTTATCACCTGTTTCTGTTGAAGCTATTGATGAAATGAATAGTCAGAGTTCAGCAACAGCTGCTACGTTTAATGCAGGTGTTCTGTCGGGAAATAAGATAGCTCTGCAACCCAAAGAAATATCAAAAACAGTGATCGCAAAGCCGGCGATTCCGGTGGCTAAAGAGCCTATTGCCATCATTGGTTTAGGGGGAAGATATCCGGGTGCTCAAACCATTGCAGATTTCTGGGAAAACTTAAAAGCAGGGAAAGACAGCATCACAGAGATTCCGGCAGACCGGTGGAATCTGACAGATTTCTACGACGAGGAAAAAGGCAAAGCTGGTAAAAGCTACAGCAAGTGGGGTGGGTTCCTGGAGCATATGGATCACTTTGATCCCTTGTTCTTTAATATTTCTGTTCGTGAAGCAGAGTTAATGGATCCGCAGGCGCGTCTTTTCCTTCAAACTGCCTGGGAAACACTGGAAGATGCAGGTTATACCAAAGCAAAATTACAAGGAGAAAAAGGCAAGAATTCTTCAGGCGCGCAAGTGGGCGTATATGTAGGCGTGATGTATGAAGAATATCCGTTATTTGGTGCAGAAGAGAATGCAAAAGGCAATTTCGTAAATCCTGGCGGAAGTATCAGCAGTATTGCAAACCGTGTATCTTATTTCTTCAATCTTCATGGGCCAAGCATGGCGGTTGATACCATGTGTTCTTCGTCTTTAACGGCTATACATCTGGCTTGTGAAAGTATTCAGAACGGGAGTTGTACTATGGCTCTTGCAGGCGGGGTAAACCTCAGTGTGCATCCAAACAAGTATTTAATGCTGAGCCAGGGCAGGTTTGTTTCTAGTGAGGGACGATGTGAAAGCTTCGGTGAAGGTGGCGAAGGTTATGTGCCAGGGGAAGGCGTAGGAGCTGTATTGCTCAAATCATTGAGCCAGGCTTTGGCAGATGGTGATCGTATTTATGGTTTAATTAAAGGGACTTCGCTCAACCATGGTGGTAAAACGAATGGATATACCGTTCCTAATCCAAAAGCACAGGCCGCAGTAATTAAAGCTGCAATGAAAAAAGCAGATGTAAAAGCAGAAGACTTCAGTTATATCGAGGCGCATGGAACAGGAACAAGCCTGGGCGATCCTATAGAAATAGCAGGTCTGGCCAAAGCTTTCGATTCAAAGAACAAACAGTTTTGCAGTATTGGTTCGGTGAAAT